TCTAAGTGAATTCCCATTCATCTGCCTTTTCATCGCGAAATCTGCCTTGAATGATCTAATCGAGTGACAATTTCATGGAATTCCTTTGATACACGAGTGTCTGTGAACGTCTTAGGAACAAACCAAAACACAGGAACAGAAAACGCAACTTTAATAATTTGGAAGTAAACTACAAAGCACAATAATGTCAAGAAACTATGATCAGGCCTGTTTCATATGCTTGAAATTCGCAATCAGAGATTCTCTTGAAGTTGGAATATGCTCCAGCGATTCAAGTAGTTTGGTATCGAGAGCGCAGTTTCCTTTTGTAGCGAGAAGTAACTGCCCGCGATCCGTTGAAGTTCCAATCGGCTTGGGATCTACGCTAGGATCGACAATCTAGAAGTAGTGTCTATATGGAAGTGGGCACACAAAAGGTGAGACAAGCTCAAGGGATTGTATTTGATTTTTCGAAAACGATATCGTCAACTCAACACTGATCTGGTTAAAGCAGTGTGTAACGCAAGTGAAGAGGATAGTGATCAATCCGTGTACCGCGCATCCCCGCTTTCGGCTCCCTATGACTATGACCCTTTGATTTGGAAGTACAGGGGTGCATAGGAAGCAGGAAGAAACTGGCATTAGTGTTTCGAAATTTCCACAACCAACCCTCTCTCGAGTCTTACTACCCCTATCACTCCCACCACCACGGCCAACTTTGTCTATTTCGCGCATCCCCGAAAACGTCGGTAAAGCCATCAAAGCGACTCCCTGTCTAACAACCACAACCCCTTTCACTTCCACTTCCAGCAATATGTATTAGTTTTCCTCAACCCCAAACACGACCCCGGTCTGGCTTGGCCAATAACCTTCAATAAAAACAGAATTGTATAAGATGAACCTCTTTGTAGAGCCGCACAATTTCATAAAGGCTGATCGGTTCTGGATTGACGAGATTCAAATGACCGCCGAATCTCTTCTCCATTAGCGACAGCATAGCATTGAAACAGTCCGGAAGGATTGAAATTGACACAGGCAAGTCGAAGATCTCTCTGGAAAATCGGTGGATCATAGCAGTTAAATATAATTTCAATTAAATAATACGCCTAACTTAGCAGCTTGCAGTCACTACTTGGTGGCACTCCTTTGAAGTGGTGTATACTGGCTGCCTTATGGCCAGCAATAGGCAGATTTTTCGAGTGCTGTGCTACATTTCGTGCGACAAGTGATCAAAAGCATTCTTACACAGCAAGGAGGTGGAAACATTTTTACTTAATTACTGGAATTTTCCTGCATTTTATCTTTCGTGAAAGGATAGAGCAGGCGAAGGGACTGCAGAAGCCTCAAGAGCTCTGGAGTGGAGGGGCTCTGGCATGGGTGAGCCACTTAGGCCGATGTCAGACTTTGCGAATCGCGCGATTCGCTAGCGATTCGCGCGATTCGCTAGCGTCCGCGGTCGCGTTGCGGTACCAGCCAATTGAGTGATTCACTGGCCGCGACGCGACCGCAGACGCTAGCGAATCGCGCGATTCGCAAAGTCTGACATCGGCCTAACGAGGCAAATATTCCAAAGTGTGAGTCATGAGCCGCTGAGCCGCTATGAGATAGGGAAGCTTTTGTTTTTCAAAAGTATGGCTTATTTGGGTTTGTGCGCATTATGAGCCGCTTTCAAAGCGAAAGAGCGCAGATGAGGGCTGAACATTGACGCGAGTTGGAAAATCGAGGACTGAGCAGATAAGAAGAGATTGCATGGGGCAGGGGGAAGGGGTGACTAAAGTAGGATTGCTTCAATCATTGGCACGCAGGTACTCCGTAAACATGGGTTTCACTGTGCCATAACCTAGCAGTGGGGGCTTCAATAAAGATAAACCGGCTAGAAAGGAATGGTAAAGCAGCATTCGTTTTGTTCTTTATCCTTACCATTTACATTCAGCTAGAGTTACCTGCTGCACAGTTTCCTAACCTTTTCAAGTGGTGGTTTCTTTCAAGCCAAAAAATTAGTGTATGGATAATAAAACAGTTTTTCAAGTGACTCACTTGTAAGTTATTATTTTAGAGAGCAGATTTCTTGGCTGATCAAGCTCGTACGTCAGCGGCAACGTGATTCTTGCGTTAATGTTTTCCCAGCCTTTTTCATTGAAATGTGACATTTGGCGATCTGTGAAGCCTTTCACCACCGAATATGACGACCCAAAGAATGTTGGCTCTTCTGAAAATGTGAACATCGAGTCGCGCTGTTTCCCACATTCTACTGCACTTT